GTGTGTGTGAGAGAGAGAGAGAGAGAGAGAGAGAGAGAGAGATGGAAAAGCTAGAGTGATACTTAGATTGTAACATTTAATGTGTTAAGGATACTCCTTCAGGCAAACAAAACAGTGACTCCCTGATTTAGTTTATAGCACATAAGAACCCAAGATGAGCAAGTATGTTGTTTCCTTGCATTACTAAGAGGCAGGAACTGCTTCACCTAACAGTCATCATTCCTACTATCAACAATGCAAATGAGTATCAGCAGAAGAGTGACAACACAAAAATGGCAGCTCTTTGCTTAATAGCTTTGCTAGCAACATGTGTTTGGAGCAGATCTGGTGAATCCAGTAAATAATATAAAGTTCTACTTTTGCTCTTCTCAGCTTTGCAGAAGCCACACAAGTAAGGGCGTGCATGCTGGCTTGTACATCGGCACAGAAATTACTGATGAAAGGGCACAGTTTGACATTCAGATTCCAGGCTCAGTGCATAGTCCTGGCAGTTGTGGAAAGCAGGCTTCGTTCACCACCGTGTTTGCTCCAGTTTTACGCCACCATTAATCAATTTCTAATTTCTAAGGACCAAAGTTTTATCACTAGTGCCAAAGCCTGGAGACTCACAAGTAGCTGTAACTTGCAGAAGACAGAGAAGTCAGCCTGTAAAGGGACTGGGGGCTACTTGTTTGCATTTTTTAACCTTGGAATTACAGCAGAGAAAGTGTTGAAATGAGTGCAAATTGCTGCCACTTGCTGGCAACGGCATTTGCATAAAACACAAGGCCTTCAAATGAGAAAAAGAACTGAATGGTGAAATCCTCCAAAATATTTCATGTTCTCAGAGAAAAGTTTGGAAGTGGCGAGAAAGAAGGCGGTTTCAATGAAAAAGAAGTGTTGCTGATTCTCATCCAAGTTTGAGAGCATCTTTCTGAAATACCACAGATCTGGAGCTTTTCCCCCCCAGAGCTGAATAGCTCTAGCACAGCTCAAAACTTCTCAGCCTCAGCACACAATTGGCACTTTATTCCTGGAAGGTCAGGTGAGCTGCAGTACTACAGCAGCACCCAACATCTCTTCCTGCTGGCCTTTCCAAACTCTCAGGAGATGAACTTCACAATACATATTAATTCTTTGGGACAGTGTACTTGTAAGAGTAGGTGGACTCTTCCTGTACCATAAAAACAAATCTCCTCCCAGCTCATGGCCTAATTTTAAGCAGATTTCATCTTCCTCAGCTCCTTCTCCCTCCCTCTCTCTCTCTTTCTCACTTCCTCCCCTTCCAAAGATTTTGAAAATGCTTATCAGTCTAGTATGCAAGTGCAGTAGCCACAATGATTAAAAAACAAAACAAAAAAACCCCCAAAACCACTTTGCAGCATTTTTGAATGGTGTAAGGGAAATTAGAAGGGAGATTTACCTTAAGGGACCAGAATGGTGTTTGAGTACTATACATAAAAATGAACTTATATCAGACAAAAGTAAACAGATCAGACTCCAAAAAGTCTTTTGCCAAAGGCAAGATGTATGCTCTACTGACACGAAGAACAGAGTTTTGTGAGCACTTCACAAATGGACCATTTTACAAGTCAAAGGGGATGCATCTTTTAATATTTTTTAACATTAGAGACCACGATTGTCTGCTTTGTTGGTTTAATTACAAGTATGTGGTGGAATCATTTGCTTTCCAATAACACTTTCTATTTGATATGATACTGAAGACAGTATGAAGATTAGGAAGATCAGTTTGATAACCATCCCCTGAATTTATTTAAATAAACAGAATAACTGATTAGTAGCAGCAGTATTTTATTTTATTAAATTTAGATGTTGCCCTATGCAAGAAGGCTCAGGGAAGTTTACAAGAAATCCTACAAAGCATGAAACAAAAGCAGACTCCCCAAAATGACACCTTACAGGGTTTGGGTTCTATTTTTATGATCTTCATTGTTTTGTGAGGTAAAGCTGTATTAGTCCTGACATGGTGAAGCAAAACGCTTATTTTTACTGACCACAGCAGCCAATATTAAGATATATATTGTATGTGGACTTTTACAGAGACACTGTCTAGAGGGCATGATGTTGGCCTGTGTTACTAGTGAGGTCAATAAATACAGCTCCCAGTGCCATAGATAAGCAGAGTTAGGGCAAGAATGAGCACTTTGGGAAATCTCTCTGGTTAATTCATTCATCATTGGGTAGTTTAAATGCATTAGAAATGACAGGAACAGGACCTCGATTCCAGCACCTTCTGTGGGCATATCCTGTAAAGAATAACGGAAAGAGGTCACTGAGAATGCTGCACCCACTTTCTGCCAGTTAATCTGCTGAAAACAGTAGTACCACTAATAGAACCTACCCTGCCAATTCTTATCAAGGGATACGTTACTGTATTCCAATCTGTTAACACCTCAGTGAATATCAGGTAAGAGTACTCCAGACTGGCTATTTTTCAAAGGCATAGTAATTTGAATAATTTCTTGATGTTTGGCACTCTAGAAGTTCTGAGAATTGATTTGACTTTCATTAAATGTTAGAGGCATTTCTTTTAGTCAGCATATACCACTTGTATCTGCATTTCAAGATCCCCAAAGCTATAATGGATAACATTTTAAGCACTAGTTTGTGAGGTAGATTGGCCTAATGGACGCTTAAGTGGTTACTGTACATGAGTTACCAAGATGGAGGAGGTCTTCTCAACTCTGAATTCTTCCATGTCTGACCCCATATGGGAACTAATTTACTCTTGCCCCAGGCACTAAAATGAAGGACTTGCATGAAAAATTTTACTCAGAGGATCTTCTCCTAATCTTGTGGGCATTCTTCAGTTGATACGCAATACTATCTATCGTTATAGAAGTAAAAAAAGGTTTGAGAATTATCCAAAGGGCTGGTAGTTAATTTCCTAGCCCCTGTAAATGGTAAATAGAGAAAACAAAGGGTGTGGTTGGGGGGGGGGGGGGGGGGAGAAAGATTTGAAAACGTTCTAAAAAAACT